ATAGAAGCTAAATGGGGTATTGCTGCCATATATGGTCTGGAGCCCCTTCTGTTTGCCTCGGGGTTCTTGATAGGCTCCAGAGGCGGATATGCAATATAATTGGCCCTGCTCTGGCATCTCGTCTACAGTCACTCTCTCACAGACGCGCCGTCGCCTCCCTCTGCCTGTTCTACAAATACTTTCATGGCAATTGCTCCGAGGAGCTGCATTCGCTGGTTCCCAGACGTCATGAGTTCAAGCGTCATACGAGGCTGGCATCCCGCTCTCACCCCTTCACTGTCGAAACTTCTAAATGTAGCCGTCTCTTCTACTCCAATAGCTTCATGTCTCGTACCTCTCGCCTGTGTAACTCCCTTCCCTATTTCTGTTTCCCTGAGAGCTATAATCTCCAGCTATTCAAGTGTAATGTCAATCGACATCTCCAGTTGCCTTGATCTATCCACTACCCTTCTCCTCATCCTTTCTTCTATCACTCCTATCTGATCTTGCTCTAAATTTTCTGTAACTCCTTGCGTCCTAGTGGCTTCCTGCCTTGCTTGGGGTGAAATGCTTAAGAAAAAAATATATATATATACGCTTGTTCGATCACTACCAGGGAACACATTATTCTTTGCTAAATTTTCACCATTTTGCAGGCCGATCGACGTAATATACACTGTTTAATAAAACAAACGGGGCATCTATTTCAAATACGAAGTATCCACTATAATAACGTTTGAAGTAATATATATATATATATATATATATATATATATACGAGCTGTTGCTGTCTGTGAAATTTTAAATCGGCCCACTACAAGTCGACTTAAAATCCAACAGACAGCAACGATTCTAATATTTAAAGAAAATCACTTTGCTACTCGTCGGATATGATAAAGTAGTTTAATTTAAGCTGAAATACTTAACCTCAAAATTCCTGCTTGAAGACACCAAACTTAACACATGTTGACGAAACACATTATCATTTTAAAAAGATTTCCCACTTTGTCTTATTATCTATACTTTTGTTTCGGATACTATTCTACATCCGAGTAACACATGATAATAACTATATATATATATATATATATATATATATATATATATATATATATATATATATATATGATGGTTTATTTGATCTCATGGAAAGGAATGTATATTTCAATTTGTTATATTCGATGCCAAGACTTTATGATGTTGTTCACGCACTCATGTATATATATATATATATAATATATATATATATATATATATATATATATACGAATAAATACAAATATTAACAGACATATGCACACACACATACACACACACATATATATATATATATATATATATATATATATATATATATATATACACTATCAAAATCAAAAATTTGGTGCGACCAACAGACTACCTGTCAAAGAACCTAAAAACTTAGACAAGGAAAAAATCCCAAATTATCTAAGAAAAAAAAAGACCCAATGTCAAACATCCATTGTAAGCAGTAAATCAAACTGCGAGTCTATACAAATAGCGCCAAAAGAAACAAAAACGCTTCAGAGCGTCAACGATGCAGAGTCCCTACTTCAGTTCCACGCTACCGCGATCTTCAGGCGACCATATATATGGCCATGCATATATGGCGCGTAAAGTTGCATGCATAGAAAAATGTCAAAGTTAGGACCCAAAAATCCCGTTATCGAATCATATCGCCAACGATACGTTTAAGACTGAGGAATAAATTCAATGTTTTTTTACTCAGCAGATCGGATCGCGATATAAATCTGGCGCAAAAGATATAATATGTTTCTCTATGTTTAAGTGTAAGTTTCTCTCTTGTTAACCAAACCGAATCCATTGGCATATTTGTAATTGGAAAAAAAATCCATCTCAATATATTTGGCGATGTTTTCTTTTTATTTGAAAATTCTGAAGCTATGGTGATTTTTTTTTACATGAAACCATACATTAGAAAATCGATTTGTCAGCATAAAAATATAGTGTCTTATATTTAAACAAATGAAAACAAGCAGTTATTTAATATACTAAAAAGAATCACCCATTTTTACTGACATAAAAGCATAAATCTGATGTATCTTACGAATATATGTGTGCTTATGTGTGTGCAAATGTATTTGTGTGTGTGTGTGCACAATATGAATATAAGTATATGTTTACACATACTTTTTCGTAATATCTAAAAATACATATACAAACACCCATATTCCATTATGAAAAATAGATTCTTTAATATACATATATATTGTCATAATACATATATATATATATAGATACATGTATAATTCCGTATGTCTTTATAAAGTATATATAAATACATATACATATCATTGTAATTATGTATATATCCAAATCTATAAATACGCATATATTTACATATATCTTCATGCTTATATTTCTTTGTAAATATGAACATTTATATATATACTTTTGAAAATTCATACATATATATATTTACTTAAACATGTATACGTAGGTAGGTGTTTCGGCATACATGACCATATATTATACGTTTATCCATACACACACATACACAGACACACACACATATATACCATTATCCAATATATATATATATATATATATATATATATATATGTTGTTCTCTAGGAGATAATTCAAACAACAGAAATGTGGTTCTACAGAAAGATGTTGATGATGTCTTTGTCAGAAAGAGACGGTTGAAATATCTGGGTGACGTAATGAGGAAGGAGGGCTTGGAAAATCTGATACTCACAGGACAAATTGAGGGAAAGAGGGGAAGGGGAAAGCAGCCCAAAAAATAATTGATGAGCTTGAGTAAATGGATGGCAGAACAGGGTTTGGGAGAAATAACAAAAAGACGAGACTTATTTAGAGATATAAATGACAGAAAGATGTGGAGGGCCATAATTGCCTACACCCTGAAGGGACACGGCACATAAAAGAAGTTCAAATCAAACATTTGAACCTAAACCCCCAGCGTTTTCGGATAAAACTGCATTAATCGTTGCGCATTCACATAGCGTGTCAGTGTTACCTCAAAGGGCAGTCTCTCACCCAGGGTCGCCGAATACCAGGGGTGCAATTGACAGGTAAAGTGAAGCGTCATTATAAATGGCACAACGCAAATGAAGTGTTACCAACTAAAAGGCTTCAGTTTCGTACATCATGGATCAGTGCGCCGTTCACAAGACAGATTGAAGATTTTCCTTCGGCGTATTTGTGAAATTCTTATGTATGTGAAAGTTTTTCCCTTTTTATATGCGAGGAGATATTACACGGAATCGAGGAGACATCCACCATATATACGTATACGTGAAATACTCGTAAATAAAGCAAATTCAGTGAATATACATATATATATATATAACAAAGTTTGTTAGTCAAACAATGCATTTTAAGCTCACAACACAAACAAACCTTGCAAATCACGTCTTTTATTAAATGAGTGCATATATATATATATATATAAATATAAATATATATATATATATATATATATATATATATATATATATATACATATATATATATATATATATATATATATTGTCTTTATATATAAACTTTAAAGTACATGCATATATATATATATAGATAGATAGATAGATAGATAGATAGATATATTAAAGTATATATATATATATATCTTAAAGTGTATATATACACATATATATATATATATGTATATCTTAAAAGCATATATATATATATATATATATCTTAAAGTATATATATATATATATATATATATATATATATATATATATATATATATATATTAAAAGTTTCTTTCGACATTTTAGGTCACAAACAAACACATACAAAACCGTGAAAGAAATTAAATTCTTACTTCTTTAAAATGACTACACACACGCAAACACACACACACACACATAGATACACACACATACATATATATATTCTATAACAATATATTTCATATATACAATACACATGATTTTTCGATACACACACGCAAGTATTTGAATAGAAATTACTTTCTACTGTAAAATGAGTATATATATATATATGTATAAATAAATATATATATATATATACATACATATAAATACATGCATATATATATATATATATATTATGAAATTTACTTTTTTAATTATGTACACTACAAAAGCATATCCTTAAACAAACACTCACACGCATATATATATATATATATATATATGTGTGTGTGTGTGTGTGTGTGTGTGTGTGTGTGTGTGTGTGTGTGTGTGTGTATGCATCTATGTATACAGTGGTGTGTACACATATTATTCCAAATAATGATTAACATCTGTATATATTGACATGCATATATGTTCATACGTGCTGACCCACATAGCTAACATGTGAAATTATCTAACGTCAACAAGCCATATCATATTAAGTGAATTGTTTGTGTATTGAAAAAATAATAATATTAACACTAATAATCTCGAAACTATGGAAGGGGGGCAATTTTTGTCCCTGTTGTTAACATTAGTGTGCCATACTAACCTTAATATTATTGAAATACTTTTTATTATCACATTATTATGGTTTACAATAGACGATGTATTGTTTTTTTTTCCTGACATAATCAAAACCTGTTTGTATGAGATGCTTTCAATATAAAAATTGGATTCATTACTGACTTTGTGTTATTTTTCATTGATTGACATTTTTTATCTTCTGAAAATATTAAAGAATGAATCACTGCTTTTCCTTCATTCTAAAAGTTGATTATTACAAAAAGATTCATAGTTCAATAATCATTAATACATATAAAATTCACGTTCTCTTCATCTTATTCAGTAGTAAATTCACTATCAAAAAGATGCGCCAAGCGGTGAAAATTTAATATAATTTAATGTCAAAGCCATCCCCACCAGGCAGTATCGTTCCGTTGGGAAGGTGCTAAGGTCATTATCCTGTGCTTGAAGTGTCTCCCAAAAGTAAACGCCGATGTTGGCTTGAATATGTTTTTGTCCCTAGTTATTTTAGATGTGAGATTCCATTTCAACCTCAGACACGTACGAGAATCCTTTCGAATTGGCGTGTGTAGAAATATCTACTTTCACATTGATTGAAAAGCAGTCGATACAAATTTCAATTTCATTTCAAGTTTAAAATTTCAGATGTTGAAGTACAGATTTATTTGAAGATTGCAATGTCATTAACCAAAATTCTAGAATCTTTAAGACTAGAGTGTGCAAAGAATTTAATGTGTGGGTGTAACGAAATGCCCCCCTCCTTGGAAAAGAAACAAGGAAGGAATGCTAATACTGGTAAATGGATGGATGCATGGATAGATGGTTAGAAGGATGGATGGATAGACGGAAAGATAGATGGAAGGATTGTTCGATGGATGGATGGATGGATGGATGGATGGATGGATGGATGGATGGAAGGTAGGAAGGAATGAAGGTTGGATGGATAGACGGAATGATGGATGGATGGAAGGATAGATGGTTGGATGGATGGAGGGATGGAAGGATGGATGGATGGAAGGGTAGTTGGTTGTATGGATGAATGGAAGAATGGATGGATAGATGCATGAAAGTACGGAAGGTTGGATAAAAGGATGGATGGATCCATTGATGGATCGAAGGATCAGATGCGAGGTTGGAAGGATGGAAATAAGGATGGAAGGATGAATGACTGGAAAGATGGATGGAAGGATGGATGGATGGAAACATCGATGGAATGATGGATGGATGGATGGATGGATGGATGGATGGATGGATGGATAGGTGAATGAATGGATGCAAAATTGGAAGGATGGATGGAATGATAGCTGGAAGGATGGAATGAAGGTTGGAAACATGGATGGATGGGTGGATCGGTGTAAGGATGGATGGAAGGCTGGAAGGCTGGACGGATGGAATGAAGGATGAAAGGATGGATGGAAGTTTAGAAAGATGGATAGATTGAACGACAGATGAAAGAATGGATGTGTGAATAGATGGATGGAAGGATGTATGGATGGATGGAAGGTTGAAAGGATGAATGGATGAAAGGAGTGATGGAAGGAATGATGGTTTGATGCTTGGAAGGATGGATGGATGGATGGATGGATGGAAGTAGGGATGGATGGTTGGAAGGATGGATGGATGGAATGATAGATGGAGGGTTGGATGGATGGATGGATAGAAGGATGGTGGGATGGATGGAAGTTTGGAAGGATGGATGAATGGAATGATAGATGGAGGGTTGGATGGATGGATAGATGGATGGTGGGATGGATGGAAGGTTGGAAGGATGGATGTATGGAATGATGGATGGAGGGTTGGATGGATGGATAGATGGATGGTGGGATGGATGGAAGTTTGGAAGGATGGATGAATGGAATGATAGATGGAGGGTTGGATGGATGGATAGATGGATGGTGGGATGGATGGAAGTTTGGAAGGATGGATGGATGGAATGATAGATGGAGGGTTGGATGGATGGATAGAAGGATAGTGGGATGGATGGAAGTTTGGAAGGATGGATTAATGGAATGATAGATGGAGGGTTGGATGGATGGATAGATGGATGGTGGGATGGATGGATGGAAGTTTGGAAGGATGGATGGATGGAATGATAGATGGAGGGTTGGATGGATGGATAGAAGGATGGTGGGATGGATGGAAGTTTGGAAGGATGGATGGATGGATGGAATGATAGATGGAGGGTTGGATGGATGGATAGAAGGATGGTGGGATGGATGGAAATTTGGAAGGATGGATGGATGGAATGATAGATGGAGTGTTGGATGGATGGATAGAAGGATAGTGGGATGGATGGAAGTTTGGAAGGATGGATGGATGGAATGATAGATGGAGGGTTGGATGGATGGATAGAAGGATGGTGGGATGGATGGAAGTTTGGAAGGATGGATGGATGGATGGAATGATAGATGGAGGGTTGGATGGATGGATAGATGGATGGTGGGATGGATGGAAGTTTGGAAGGATGGATGGATGGAATGATAGATGGAGGGTTGGATGGATGGATAGATGGATGGTGGGATGGATGGAAGTTTGGAAGGATGGATGGATGGAATGATAGATGGAGGGTTGGATGGATGGATAGAAGGATGATAGAATGGATGGAAGTTTGGAAGGATGGATGGATGGAATGATAGATGGAGGGTTGGATGGATGGATAGAAGGATGGTGGGATGGATGGAAGTTTGGAAGGATGGATGGATGGAATGATAGATGGAGGGTTGGATGGATGGATAGAAGGATGATAGAATGGATGGAAGTTTGGAAGGATGGATGGATGGAGTGATAGATGGAGGGTTGGATGGATGGATAGAAGGATGGTGGGATGGATGGAAGTTTGGAAGGATGGATGGATGGAATGATAGATGGAGTGTTGGATGGATGGATAGATGGATGGTGGGATGGATGGAAGTTTGGAAGGATGGATGGATGGATGGAATGATAGATGGAGGGTTGGATGGATGGATGGATGGATGGATAGAAGGATGGTGGGATGGATGGAAGTTTGGAAGGATGGATGGATGGATGGATGGATGGATGGATGGATGGATGGAAGCATCGGTGGATGGATGGATGTAAGAATGGATGGATGGAAGGAAAGATGGGTAGATGGATGGATGGATGGATGAATGGATGTTTGGATGGATGGTTGAATAGGTGGATGGATGGAGGGATAATGGATGTAATCATTTTAATAAAAATATTGAATGAAATTATAGATTTCGCTAATGTTTTGTAATATTGAGTTTAAGGTAAACTGTGGATTTTAATATAGGAGTGTTGTTTCAGAGGCTATAATAAATCAACAGCTGAATAATAAAAAAAAAAGTTTCATTGATGGAATTGCGGAAATCAGTCCGTCTTGAAAGGAAAAAAATTAATAACACATCATTTACCTTTGACGGAAACTATGTTACATCATAAGGTAAGTTTAAATATTTATTCAAATCTATAATTGAAGCTTCGTTGAAATAATAAATAAAACCAATTTAGAATATTATTAATTAGATGTTTTTTGTAATCTTCTCTTCTCCATATTGATAAAAGAATTGAACGCCTATTTATGTCTTAAACACTGCACAGGCGTCAAGATAATTTCATACATCAAAAAAATAAACCCATCGCTAAATATGCCGGAAAAAATTGTCGTTTCCAGTAATTACCTGACCCCCCCTTCTAACTTACCTTTATAAGAATTAGATCAGGCCAAAAATAGAGTACTCTTGCCATATATGGGTCTTTACTTTCCAGTCTTGATAGAGCCCAAAATATACTCCACATCCTTGTGGGTGACAAATTATTTTCCACCCTCCACCCCCTTTCTGACAGTAGAAATGTCACAAGCTTCTTGTTTCTCTATTGTTATTTACATGGAAAATGTTCAGGTGAACTAGATTCCTTAGTTCTATGAGTTGTAACATTAACGGTTAAGATCCGTCATGCCAAACACATTGTAGCAAACAACCTTCATTATCTTTGTATTCCATTGCTGAGATGTAAGTTCCACTCGAGTAGCTTGTTCCTGTGAACCGCTGCTTTGTGGAACCGACTCCCAAAAGGGTATTTTCCTGATCACTAAAATCTTAACCTGTTCAAGATTAAGATTAACTGTTATCTTCCACACATAACCACATAAACTCTGCCTTTTACTGTTTATTCCTCTACCTCTAGTGGCTTTCAGGACTTGTACAGGAGGAACATCACTGTAAAAATATTTTTAACAAATTCATAAAAATCACTCCTCATTGTCATTATTTTTGACATGTGACCATTTTTTCTGGAATACACGGTGAGAAAGATAACAATTCTACTCTATTTATCATTTAATTTATCGCCCGGTTCGCACTCCTTTACTGTTTTTCTAACATGAGTAAAGTTTTACCATTTGCTTTCTGTTTAGGATTGGGTTTCCTGTTTCTTCTACTAAAATCTTCTCATTCTTTCACACCCAGTAACCTTTTGCATCTTAGTGGCATCATCGCCTTGCTTGTGGTAAAATGATTAAAAAAGAATTGTGATCTTTCTTGGATTTAGGAGAAGGAAAACTCTAAATTCAAGAACAAGGATGGGCTCCGTCAGGCTATCTTGCCTTAGATACACCTATGTCTGCGATTCCCTTACGGCCTTAACGGGTTAAAGGATCCGTGATATGTGATATTTGATGTCATTAAATGAACAAATGAAATGTAGTTGTAGGGAGAGGAAGGTTTCAAAATTACCAACTTCAATAGTGGAAGAAATCGAATTGATAAATTGTATATAAAGAAAGAGATAAAAAAGAGAGATTAAATTTTTGTCTACAAATTAGTTTAATTGACTTAGTAAGAAGCAAAAGAAATGGTTTTAAGATGTAAGGTAAGACAAAAGAAATTAGCAAAGCAAATGGTTTTAAGACGTAAGGTAGCATTATTATACCGGCAAAGTATTAATGTAGGCGAACGCTGACATTTGAATCGCTCGTAAACCAAAAAAAGTTGAGAGACGAATACGGCCCAGAAAATAAAACGAACAACAAGAATCGCCGGAAATTCAAGAAAAGACTAAATTTGTACCCCTACAATGTAACAAAGGCCATTTTTAACGTCACCAATGCCTCTTTCTGAACTGAGCGTATTTTATTTAATTTTTCATCAAAAAATGAGTTTTCTAAGAAATTTAGCGTTTGACGCAAGCGGTGCTGGAAACAAGCTGGTGAATGCGCAGGACCTGTGGCTAATGCCGACTTGCAGCCAATGGGAATGTTGCTTTACATTTAGTGGTATTGTAGAGGAATAATTCATTTTGAACTTCTTCCAGCCGGCGAAACAATAACTGCAAAGATGTACTGCGACCAACTCACCAATCTCAATGCGGCCATTGAAGAAAAAAGGATGATTTGCGCAAATGAAAAAGAAGTCATTTTCTACCACACAACGCATTTTACCTTACAGAAACTTACAGAATTCAAATGGAAAAGCCTTCAGCACTCACCGTATTCTTCTGACGCGACTACTTCGAATTTTCATTTGTTCAGGTTTCTGCAAAACAATTTAAATGACAAAATAGGCGTACAATCAGTCAAAAATTATCCCACAACCTTCTTCCAACAAAAACACAATGTTTCTACAAAAATGGCATCGACCAGCTTTATAGAAAGGTAGGAGACAGTTATTAAATCCAAAGGAAACAATAGAGTTGACTAATAAATGTCTTTTTGACTATGTGGTATCTTTGTTTTAATTTTTTAATCGGGCACAAACTTTTACAATGATCTAATAAAGACAATAGAAGCAAAAATCGTGAGAGCGACGATAAAAATGTTCTACATATCGTATAACTTTTATTAGAGTATCAAACCATATAATAATTATCAATGTGTATTTATTTATATATTTCCTGCCCCAACTGTAGTGAGAAGGGAGGTAAATCAACTTAAGTTCGTAAATTTATGAAAGAATACTTCCCTTAGTTGTTTTAATAATCTATACAAATAAACAGATAAAATTTAGATAAAATTAGTTCCCGAGTAAAATGTACCGTTTAATTAATCAGTTTCTTTACACCTACGTTTCTTAGATGGCACTAGTATTTGTTCAAGCCTTTCACGTGAGGCGCTCAGATACCTTTGTCTTAAGTGATCGTCTTGCTTCAACTTGGTCCTGAAATAGAGTTTAGACGTCTTTGTCGTTTTACTGCTAATATTTTTCTATCGAGAGAAGACAGTTCATTGTTATATTAAACACATAACATTTTTAACATTAAAAGATACTGAGCAAAAAGTGATGTATATAATACCTGGCATAATTAATGAATGATAGATATCACTGAACGTCTAAAAATAAAAAGGGAAAGGGGGAATTAAACGGTTCATTGGCCTTTATTTTAGTTGTGAATTCTTTATCACTTTTCATTGTTTTAAGACTTTTGGTTCAATGCATCTCACTATTAAAACTTTCTAACAATTGCCGTCATTTTAACGACATAACTACACTAGTATTGTTATAATTGTTCGATTTAATTTTTAACTATTGTAGCTGTTAATCTCTTAGATTAGGAAAACAATTTACCATAGGAAAACAATATAGACTATGGGAGATATTTTTTATGTCGGTTTTACAATTGGTATTAAGCAATCAATACTTATAAAGATGTCGGGATACATTTATATTTATAATATAAATATGTAATATAAATTTCAGTGTATACTGTTATGATAAGAAATATTTGCAATAATTTATGTGGTGATGTTATTTAGTAGAAGAAATGGACAAGCGACACAAAGTTGAATATGTCTGATGAGAAACTGAAAATATATGAAAAGCAGGGTGTAAACAGAATTGAATTGACTCTAAAAATTTGGGGTTCAAAATTCCAAGAAGGTTACAGAGCAAGACGACAGACAGATGAAGAAGGCTGCTGAATGTAGTGGCTGAAACGTTGAGATATAACAACGAAGAGTACTGATGATATTCAGTTACCCCCCCCCACGAGGGTGTCATGTGGCACAAGGCCTTTTTAACGTGGGCTTTCCGAGCCATTAGGCTCGGCCCAAAAATATACCCATTGAACCCGTATAAACGGGTTCAGGGCCGGTTTTACCTCCCCGAAGGAGACTCCGCCCTTCGGCGTAGCCTCCTTCGGGTTCCTCCCGCCCGTAGGAAGAGAGTTCAACCGAGCAGTCGGTTCAAAAGTGAACTACTGACTGACGAAGAGTACTGATGATCTGGTACCCCTGCTATTTATATAGAGCACCTTGATAAAATTCAAAGAAGACTCAGCAATATTATCGGTCCTGATCTGACAACTCGGCTTCAGTCATTTGCCCACTGCCATAAGGTTGTCTCTCTGTGTCTTTTCTATAAATACTTTCATTGTAATTGTTCAGATGAGATCTTCATTATGGTACCTAGACTTTTGTTTACTAGACTAGTGTTGAGATCTCATCAATTTACAGCTGAACCGGCTAGATGTAGCCGTAAGTTCTATGCTAACAGTTTCTTTTCTCGCACTTCTCGCTTGTGGAATTCCCTTCCGGTTTCATGATTTCTAGTCAATTTCAATCTTCAAAAATTTAAATGCAATGTCTATCGCTCTCTACTGTCTTTCCTCTTCCCGCTCATTATTATTCATTCTGATCCTAATTTTTCCACACCCTGTAACCACTTGCGTCTTAGTGGCTTTATTACCTTGCATGGGGTGGTGATACCGATAGAAACAAAATCCTTCCTTTTCTCTTCCCAGTCAGGTTAGAGATAAGAAAGTTTGATTTCTATTCGATTCTTTGTAACAATAATTATCTCTTAATTGTTTAATCAGTAAAAATGGTGAAAAATCATCATTATTTAATCCACTTTGGTCACTGTTACATTTTGAACTTCTTTCTTTTTCTTCCAAATAAGGTAAACATAATAAAAGTCGATTAGGCTGCTTACCGTAGTGTAACAGTTCGAAAAAACATCTTTGAGATCATTGCAAGAGGGACATGTTCGATTCTCACAAAGAATCCTACGATGTTGAGCCTCTGTTTAACTAAATTATGTAAATAACTACACAAAGCACTTGTACTGGAGTAATGACTAA